AGACTTCTTACTAGCTAGTTAATATTATCTTTTTTAGATTTACTACTTTTAGTAGGTTTTATATAATTAGCTATAGGCTGGATTTTCTTTTTATTTATATTTATAATAGCTTTAGAAAATATAATAGAAAGAACTAGTATAGCAGAACCTCGCTATAACGATCCCTTGATATAATAATTAGTCCGTGTACCCCATACAAAAACCTCGCAGTATTATTAGATATTTTCGGTCCCAAACCCCTGTTACTACCAAAAGTTAACAATAACCTCGCAATATTATTAAATATTCTCGGTCCCGAGGCAATCGTTATAGCGAGGTTCTGCTGTAATAAGTAATTATTTTCTGGTTTAGAAACTATATTATAAATTATTATATTTAAGTATTTTTATCTAAATCTGAATATATTTGAATTATTAGTAATATTAAAACAGTATTTTTTTTCTTTATACTAATAAAATATTACTATCTTCTTATATATCTTATTATATTTATAAATAAAAATATTTATAAGTTTAAAATTTATATTTTTAAAAATATAATTTTTTATTAAAATAAATAATTCTCTTATAAATTCTCGATATTAAATAATTTCATTTATTTCATTTATTTCATTTATTTCATTTATTTCATTTATTTCATTTATTTCATTTATTTCATTTTTCATTTATTTCATTTATTTCATTTATTTCATTTATTTCATTTATTTCATTTATTTCATTTATTTCATTTCTTTTTAATAATTTCTTTAATACTTTATTAAATATATTAATATAAGATTTAGAAGAAATTTCTTTATTCTGGGCTTATATAATAATTTAATTAAGAAAATTATAGCTAATTTTAAATATTTATATTCTCGGAATTTCTTTAGTAAGGCCTTAAAGAATTTAGTCTTTTAGTAATTTTCTAGATTATTAGTATAATATTCCGGTATAGCCTTAATCTAATTCTTATAAATGAAAAAGATAAAATAAATAATTTTCTTTCTTTTAGTATTATTAGAAATATAATAGTTTTTATATATATTTATAGAAATATTACTTTCCTAAAACTATAGTATTTTAGAAGCTTCTATAAATAGCAGATTTAAATCCGGTACTAGTATATATTTATTTTTAGTTATATTAATCTTAATAATTTCTTCTATAATTAATTATAGAGTTTCTATATTTAAAACTTTTACTAATAAGATTTCTAAAGAACTAATTTCCCGTTTAAATATATCTTTTAGTTTAGGAACCGGAATTTAAGAAAAACTAGTTAATAATAATAAATATAATTAAAGTTCGAGTTTTAATATTAATAATAATAAGATAATAGCTTTTCTAATCTTATTCTTATTATTTATATTCTCTTTTCTATTTTATTAGCTTAATATTTATAGTATTTCTCCTTATTTTTACTAAACTAAATATATTTAATAATACTATTAAAAGTAATAATAAATATAATAAATATAATTTTATTAATTTTTCTGACTTTTCTAAATTCTCTTTTTTATTTCTATTTAGTATTATTTTCTTTCTCTAGAAGTTTCTCTAGATTATCTATATAATTTCTTATTTCCAATTTCTTTTTAATTTTTACTCCCGATTTCTATTTACTATTTTATTTAAAATTAAAAATATTTTCTTTTTTAGATATTTTTTCCGGACTTAGAAATAAGCTTTTTTACTAAAACTAATACTATCTTTATTCCGGTCTTTATTATAACTAAAAATAATATATAAATTAATAATATAACTTTATTTCCGAGTATTAAAGCCTATTTCTAATTAAAATCTAATTTATATTATCTTAATATAATATTTCTTATTCTATTTTCTTTACTTCTTTTTCTTTTATAATTAGCCTCTATTTTTACTACTTTTATATATTATACTAGTAACTATATCTTATAGTTAACCTATATTCAAATTACTAAATATATTAGAAATTAATATAAGATACTAAGATTAATACTTATATATTCTTAATATTTTAGCTTTAAGCTTAAGATATTATAATAGTTCTTTTTTCTCTAAACTTATTAAGCTAATAATTCACCTTATAAATATCTCTTAGAACCTTATAAAAGTATTACCTTAATTATAAAGTTTTAATCTTCTCTATATTACTTACTATAAAATATATAAGAGAGAAACTATAATAAAACAAAAACCTATATAAAGTATACTAGAATATAAAATATAACTTAATAATAAAATAATAAGATTAAAAGTATAAATAGTAAAATATAAATAATATATAGTATATAAATACTTAATTAATTAAATACTAAAAAGGAATTATTCTCTAGAACTATAAAAAAACCAGCTTTCTTATATAATTTCTATAATTTATATATAAAAGACTATAGCTTTTATTATATAACTAAAACCTTAAAACTACTAAAATAATATAATTTTTTAAAGAGTATAGCCTATTATACTATAATACTCTCTTATATTAAGCCATATATTACTAAAGAATTTAGGATATTATATAAGATATTTAATTAACTATATAGAAATTAGTAAGAGATAGAGAGAGTAAAATAAAAATCGGTAGAAAAATGCCAAAAATACTATTAAATAAATAATTTTAGTAATATTATATAGTTTTAAAGTAATATATAGCTATCAGGGGATTGAGAATACTATAAAGTATTAATATTTAATAGAAATTAAATTTTTATTAAGGTATTAATTAAATATTAAGATTTTAATTTTTGGGCAGTTAAGTAGTTTGGGCGGTTGGCCAATAAAACCTTCTAGTACAGGCTCGGCAGAATAGCTGGCCAGCAGTGCTCCCCACCGAAACGCACCCCCGGTGGCGTAATAACTATACGAGGATCAGACAAGTCCATAAGAATACTACTATACCCTCTTCTCAGTTCGTAAGTCAAGCTCCTTCGATCGCACCAATTAATCTAATAATACATCTTAGCGCCAGTATATATAATACATCAAGAGCAATAGAAAATGTCGAAGCTATTAATTTGACCCTTCCCGATAACCCCAACCTCCGAGTAATCCTTCTTCCAAAGTCCGAATTAGCACTCTATTCTATCCGCTTACAGGAGAATAACAGTATACTCTTTCCAGTCAAAGAAAGCATCTATTTACCATCGCCCGATACCAGCTCTTCCGAAAACGAAGGTAGCCCCATACTAAACAATAAGGATACTTCAAAATACCAGACCTATATAACTAGGCGAAGGCGTAACCGAAGCCAGGAGATCATTTTACTTAAATAATCGGAGAATAAAGAAAAGTTCACGCTTGGCGGGTTATAGGATAATAAAGTAGTCCTCAAGCATCTACATTCTGCCGACAAGAAGTCGTGCTATATTAACCTTTTTTACGCCCAGCTATATCCAGACCCAGACTGCGGCTCCTTAGTACTCTTTAGCGGCTTAGCATCTATATTCTATATATAGTCCCTTATAGTCCCTCAAGTCGAGAACAATATAATACCGGATAAAGAAGCTACACTCAAGTACGGTTATTGGCAAGTAACGTTTGGTAAAGAATTAGACTTCGAGATCAAGATTCTACTATAGGCTGCCAGAAAAATATACCATAACTAGGTACCTATCTCTCCCTCCCTAATACTGCTAATAAAGCGTTCGGATAAAGAGGCTATAATAAGGAAGAGAACTGTGGAAGACGGGGGGGAGACGACTAGAGAAGACGGGGAGGGAGCTAGGGAAGGCCAGGGGAGGACTAGAGAAGATAGGAAGACGATTGGGAAAACGGGGAAAACACCCCGAGCTCGTACCCTGAATATACTTATCGGCAAAACACGCCGAATACTAGTCTTCAAAAAGGCTACTCCAAAAGGAACTATAGTTGCAATTAAGGTATACCGGTAATATATAGTAAAGAAGTTTGCGGATATATAGAGGAATAAAAAGAAGATATTAAGCTCCTTAGATTATATAAGTAATCTATAAAAATCCTCTTTACTTTAATCTCACGTTTTACTAGCCGTCTATTATAAAGCTTCTAAATTATAATACTCCGAATTTATACCTCGAGTTAGAATACGGTAGATAAGACCTTTCGAAGTTTATAGACGGACGGGAATATCGGAATTATTTAAAGATATAGTATACCAGATATAGATAGATATTAGTAGCGGTATAGAGTATATTTATTCCAAGAATATACTCTATCTTAATATCAAAGCCGAAAATATCCTCTTTAGCAAAGGCTATCGGGCCAAGATTTGCAATTTTGGATTCTCTATCCAAAATACTATCGAACCAGTACTTTGGGATGGAGAAATACCTACTTATATACTACCAGAGTTCCTTCACACTGGTAAACGAGGGCGCCCAGCTAATATCTGGGATTATGGACTCGTTATGATATTTGTTCTCGGCATATAGCCACTATTACCCCCTAGTAAGTGGACAATCGCAAATATTCGTATAGAGAAGGGGAATGCCGCTACAAAGATACTCGAGTGGTTTGGCGAGGTCGAAAGAAGCAAGGAGACAATACCAGACAAATATTTTCTACTCCTTAAAATGCTTGCCATAAACCCAAACCACAGAATCACATCTTCAGAACTGGTCAAGAATTTGCGTAGACCGCCACAAGTTGAAGCTCTCATTGGGGAACTCCTTGTCTAAGCGGAAGGGGTCTTCGAGTTTCCTTTAAGGGGAGGGAGGAGTAGATGCAAACGGCATAGTTGAGGGATACCATGGTTTTGTGGTCACTCTATAATACTCCCGTGTTCTACTCTACCTATGATCATTTGGCCCTCATGTTTTGCAAACATTTTCTTTGAATCGAAAAGATTGCTCTAGTATGTCCTACGTGTGTCAGAAGAAGAAAGAGGATGACAAGGCAACGTCGAAGCAAGCTATGTTCAATGCCGGACAAAGTAGCGCGGACAGGCACAGAAACAAGGGGTAAGCGGCGCTGGCTTGCCAATGTTCCTCACTCGAACTGTACGGCAAAGAATTCAATTTTAGAGCATGTATTTAACATGAATGGACCGAGGGAAAACTGAATAAATCCGAACTAAATGGCTGGCACAAGGAAAGTTTACAAAATGTCGTTTCACTATCCTATCACCGCCTCCAAATTTAACCGTTATCCGAAAAATCTTGAACGTGCATTCACGCACCACCAGCTCTCGCCCCAGGCTTTCGACCCCGCTTCCGAGGCTTTCCCCCTTGCTTCGTGAAGAAGTTCTCCTTTAGTGACTGCAGTGTATGGCCTGGGAAATGCCGTCCTATCTCTGCCCAGGTCTTGTCGTCGTGGACCATCTTGGCCAGTAGAATCTCTTGCCTTTCAGTTAGTTCCTTCCCTGGCCTCCGTGTTGAGATAGTGTCAGAGGTAGACTCTCGTGTCCTTGAACGGCGTATTGTCTGACGCCGCAGCAGTGCCTGACGCATTCTAGAATCAAGAGGAAATGATTGAGAGTGTTCGCGGTCGGGGTTACTGTCTTGTCTCTGCCCCCTGTGCTGAGAAAGCGGCAGCAAATCTTGAGAAAATGTGAGATAGTACACGACCTTCGACGCGATAGTCTTCAGCGTAAAGTATCCGTGGATTGGCATCTCTTCACTCTCCTGCGTCCCGCTGGAAGAGGCTACTGCAGCAGCTTGATATGAAATATCGAGGGGATGACTGGGACGGCCATCCGTATCGTTACGTGCCCGGTCCTTCGTCCGCCTGACCCGTTTCCGAGAGTGTGGCCTGCCGCCTCTCGTAGGGCCCGCGGCGTCGCTCATATCAGCATAATCTTCGTCGTCAGAATCATCGGCGCTTCCACCGTCTACTATTTTCTGGTCGGTATCGGAGAGTTCCTATTCCTCGTCCGGGGCTGTGATTTGAACGCGTGACTTTGGTTCTTCGAGATCCGCGGATTCGGATGTGGCAGAAGCGGTACTAGCAGTGGTAACCGCTCTGGTGGGAGCTATCGTGCGTGGACGTTTGCGGCGGTCATGTCTGTTGGCACCTCGGCGACGTTGCTTTGGCAGGTGGCCGTTCTTCAAGTCTGGCTGGTGGGGCGACGCCGCCGCTAAGGCCAGCAATGGGGACTGAGTTTGTGGTGGGATGTAGATTTGTGGCGATAAGAGATTGAAATTTCTCGGTTAATGATGAGATGTACGGATGGTGGGCTGAAGGTGTTTATCTGAGAATAACCTATATGTTGCAAGTGACTTGATTTTGTGCCTCCGTATAGGTAGGCAGATTCGTAGTGCACATTTGCGTTCAATAATTTGAACGAATTCAGAAGCTTACTTAAAGTAAGAGTCGTGACTTAATGACAGAGAAGCTGCTCAATCTCCATCACACCACATGGAAAAAGGAAGGGACGCAAGAATACCAGTCGCAGCCGAGGCTTGTTACTCCCCAGTCTTTGAATGTCCAAACCTATCCAGAACATTGAACAAGCCTCAATGTCCAAATCCGCCTGGGTAAATCCTATCAATTGCCATGGCATTGTTGTAACTAATGAGCATTTGAAGTACCCCCATAATATTCTTATTCTCGAGCCAAGATCGTGGAATCGCCGTAGGAACCGCAGGAAACAAACGACGGAGGCATTCCAGAGCTTTTATCAGATATTCCAAAAGCCGATCAGTCCAAATTCCTCAAAGACTCACATGGGTTTCGCCAGTTACATGAGCTGGGCCAGGACCAAACGCTAAATTCCGGCGGAGACAACATCCACGAGTTGAACAATGAGCCTGCGTTATTACGACATGAGATGAATGCCGATGAGACGACTATTCCATTTAATGGACTGAGAAAATATGGTGATTATGACCGGCTCGAAACAAATACTGTACTAGAACAAACTCCCTAAATGCCCTGGGACTTCCGAGCCTGAATTTTTTTTGATGTGCTGTAAAGATAGCTCGAAAATTTCAGCCTAGGAAGATCCTATTGGCGGAAGCTATCAGATTGAGCCTTGGAGAGCTTCAAATGGTACTGTAAAGTGTGTGTATTCAGTCTGCGGAAAGAAGAGCTAATTTTCAGAGTGCTGAAAGCAGGTAGGTAAGAGCGCTGAGCTCGGGGCATACACGTGATACCCCTGTTCCCATCTAACAATAGCCCACTTAACCTTGCCATCTATCCTACCACACACTGGCCCTGGTCGGGACGTAGATAAGATGATGTTCGTTAAGAGGATGGCCTCTAGAGGGAGTAGTCCTGAGCCTTCCACTGACGGTCATATGTGCATGGCAATGCTGTTTCGTGATTGCCGTTAGCCACTTACTCAGAGTCAAGAGAGGTATTTGGATTCGGTATTTTACTTACCCCTTTGACACCTTGCGAGGCTATCCATCCGACTCCGAGACAGGCTTTGATCCCTGCACATTCCCTCACACAGTCCATGACAGACGAGCGATCATACCATTGCTCTTCCCGCCCGTCTCTGGTCGAGACGTTACACTTCCTCTTAAACTCAACCCCTCCGACAGTAAAGGTATCATGCCCGCAACTCCCACTACATAAACTATTCCAGCTGTTGTTTATGCATGCACTGTCCTGGGCAGATGCTGAGTCAGTAATTCCTCCACCACTTGCTCCCGCTTTGTCTTGGGCATCTTTCAACTGCTTCTGGAGACCGTCTCTTTCCGTATCGCGTTGGCGTGCAGCATCGGCCAGCTGCTGGCGGAGCTGATCTTTCTCGGTTGTGCATTGGGAATTGGAGTTCGTCAGAGCAGTGTCTTTCTCGCTCTGGCACTGCGTTCGTACAGTATCTGCTTGTTGCCGGAGTTGATCCTTCTCTGTAGTGCATTGGGACTGAGCTTGCTGGGCATCTGTATCAGCTTCTGCACGTAGCTTATCCTTCTCAGCTGCACATTGAGAATTGGCATTTGCGAGAGCTGCGTCTTTGTCTTTCTGGCACTGAGCATTGGCGTTGGTGAGAGCTGTGTCTTTGTCTTTCTGGCACTGAGTATTGGCGTTGGTGAGAGCTGTGTCTTTCTCCGTCCGGCATTGTGTTTCCCCTTCTCTCTGGAGCCGATCCTTCTCAGTCGTACATTTGGATTCAGCTTCCCGCTTGGCAGCGTCAACCAGCTCCTTGCAATCCTGCTCTGGATCAGGCTCCTCGGCAGTTTTCTGGAGCGTTAACCAAGAGCCCACCTTCATTGGTGCTGGGTATTTCTCTCCCAGCAAGCTGCATTTTTGCTTAGCGCTCCAAGAAGCAGAATTGCAGTGGGGGGTTTTCTGGCACTCTTCAGCGCATTCCTTGACGCTAGAGGCGCTAATGGGGGATTCCCCGCCGTTGAAAAACTGGCCGCAGGTATACTTGAACACGACGCCCGAGATGGTGCCCTTGCCACTGCTTTGAGGTGTCGGGCAACAGGCTTTGAAGCTTGCCGGGCCTGCTGTGGTGAAGCATGTCGCGGACGCGGTGGTGCCTACCCCTAAGAGGGTAACCAGGAGATAGAATGTGAAATGCATGATGGTATAATGTGAAAGAGAATTTGAAGTCGATAGCTAGGTGGACTAAGGGGTGGGAAAGAGTTATAAGTAGGACTGCTGAGCAAAAGCATGTCTCGCGGAGAACACACTACTTAGCAAGCCAATCGACTATGCTCTTGATTCTGAAGTTCCGAACTGACTAAGTGGCATAAGATGTTGTTAGCGGCTTGCAGTGGTTGTATGTTTTCCCTTGCCAACCAGTAACAAAGAGGTGGCATTGCTCGTTTCGCCAAGATAGATTTTTATTTATTGACACGGCAGCTATGCAGAGTGCAGATCAGGAAAACTGCTTCCGATTTTGAACCCTGAAGAAGAAGCAAGACATTGTGACTTCCTAATACTTGCTAGGTCTGAAAATCTTCTCTCGTTCAAGATTCAACAGTCGTAATCTCAGCGTCTGAAAATCACGAGTCCAAAGATGATAATAACCGACAAGGTCTCCTATTCATCAAGTTTCACTACCCCTCAGCTCACGGTCTCGGGCATACTGAAGATCGACAATGGAGTTAAAGTCAATATGTCTGGGAACCCATAACACTAACTTTAGTTTTTGCTACGTCCATCAGCGATCTCTGTCGCTTTGCGAGCGGTGTGTTAGCTTACGAGCTTGCTAATAACCTAGCACTAATAGATATAGAGTTTTCTTTGGCGGTTGAATCATGAGAAGTTGTTGAGGAGGTGATTGAACTCTGCGCGCATGCAGCTTGGCACCCCTTAGTTCTGGTGTAGCAAGCTCGGACTGCACCAATTCTCTCAAATTTAGCCATCAGAAGTTGTATTGTATTATGGTTCTGGTGGTCTTTCGAACTTTTCTATGATGGCAGTTTGCTGATCACTTGTTAACTTGGTAGTATCCCTTCGTCTGGCGAGACATAGTCCACGCTAGCAAGGGGGCCTGGCTCAGACTAGAAAGTCGTAGCTTCGGTTAGTCATCCATTGCCTTTTCGCCCTGTGTCAGGCCCCCTTACTAGCGTGGACTATGTCAGACGAAGGGATACTTATCTATCAATTCAAATAAGCAATATACTTGTCAGTCCTTGGTGGACGAGCATGTGTTATCACTTTTGTCTTGAATCATGGATGACAGCTCCTTCAGGATACACCATATACTAGCCCCTAATTTGTTGAAAATTTTCAAACTAAAGCTCCAGCATAGCAGAAGCAGTACGAAGGTCGCGGCCAAAAGTTATTGGACAGAACGAATACGAGGCGTGCCTGTACTTCCAGGCTCAACGCCCTAAAGCTACAGCGCTACCTAGCCTATAGCTGGGCCAACAACCACTGAACTACAGTGAGACTCGCTGAACACGCAAGGCGCCTCGTATTCGCTCTGTCCAATAACTTTTGGCCGCGACCTTCGTATGTACTTCGCCAATTAGCGACGCGAACGGACCGAGTCTTCGGCGACCGAACCATGCATAGTTCGCCGATCAACGAGAAACTACGAAGACAACGGCATAAAGTATCGGGAATACAGGGCATTGGGAGACTTTCAGGCTCTCCAGCGTACAGATCAAGGTAGCACACTCGCTACAAGGCCCTATATTTCCAGGCCCTTCCCCTAAAAGCACTTTTACGCCTTCGACAAGGGCTACCACACCTTTTCAGGGCTTCTTCCCTGTACTTACAAGGGAGCCTTCGCTAAAGGGGCCTATAATAGTTGCTTGTTTAGCGTCCGAGGGCTGTGGTTGCTCTACAAACAGCGCTATAACCCTAGAAGATCTACTTACCCCATGCGAATGTCTTATAGCGCCTCTTTACGTAGATTTAGGGAGCACTACCTAGAGTTATAGGGGCTTGTAGCGAGTTTCTGCCCTAAATTCACACCATGTAGAGCGCTGAGGGTCAAAATGCCCTGTATTCCCGATACTTTCTGCCGTTGTCTTCGTAGCTTATGGCTACTCCCGTTCCCGCTGATCGTCGAGTACCTACGATGGTAGCTAAATGGCTGCTCCCGCATCCGCCGATCGCGGGTAACTAGGTAGCTTAATGGCTACTTCCGAATCACATCAAGATTCAATAGTTATAGTTTCAGCTGATAGCAGAGAGCCACAGATATGCAGCGTGTGCGGCTGGCTTGTGCCGATCGACTTTCAACTGCACCATAACACAATAGTGGATCGAGCCAAGCTTTTAAATGTGATAGAGTGGCGTCAGTGGTTTCTGTAGCCTCAAATCTCGAGATATTCTGACAATGATCCTGCGCATCTTCTAGACTGAGTGATGCCCCTTCGCTCCTTCCGCTTCCGGTTGGCCAATTACACAGCTCTGCTGGATTGGTATGAGCCGAGCTTTGAACTTCTCGAGCTGATCCCTTTCTTCCTTCCTTCCTTCCTTTCTTCCTTGAGACTATATAACAACCCCAGTGGAAACCCCATCACTCTCATCATTCTCAAATCCATCATCTCACTATTATTCACAATGGTGAAACTCAAACTACAGAGGACTTTCGTCGCCGCTCTTCTTTCTGCTCTCTGTCAGGCAGACCAAAACATTATCTCTTCCTCCGTACGACCCAAGTATAATCTTGATCACATCAAACCCTTGACCCATCCCTCCTCAGGTCAAATCAAATGCTGTCCCGAGGGCACGCTTTTTGACGGCGAGTCTTGTGTGCTAGGTGTCCCCAAATGCCCCGACAACACTTTCTTCAAGGACAACAAGTGCGTTTCCACGACCAAGCCCAGCTGTCCCGGCGGAGAGGAATTCAACGGCAAAGTCTGTATCACCGAGGAGGCTCCCACCTGTCCTCCCCCAACTGAGCTTCAGGGCAAAGTTTGCGTGTCCAAGACGCTGCCGTCATGCCCCTCGGGATTCAAGGTCGAAGGCAATGTCTGTGTCTCTACCCAACAGCCCCTGTGTCCCGACGATGATCTCTTCAACGGCAAAGATTGTGTGAGCGACACTGGACCACTGTGCCCGGACGACAAAACCCTCCACAATGGCATGTGCATCGATAAGCTGCCACCTAGCTGCGCCCAGGGAAGCCACTTCGACTCGCACGTCAAACGGTGCGTATCTCAGCAGGGCCCCGTGTGTCCTGAGGGGACCAGCCTCCAAGAGGAAAACTGTGTGTACGAAGATGGCCCCTCGTGCCTGGACCCGACGGTCTTCAACCCTAAGACCAAAACCTGCACCTTGACGGAGAACCCGTCCTGCCCGGAGAACGAGGAGTTCGACAACGGCAAATGCTACTCGTCGACGGGCCCATCCTGTGACACCGGCACGGCCCTGTCTCTCGACCGGTCGAGCAACACCGCGCGCTGCTGCCCACCAGGCATGGCCTGGGATGGAGAAGTGTGCGCCATTGACGTGGGTGAAGGCAACTGCCCCCCTGGCCTGATCAAGGTCGGGACACGATGTGAGAAGCAGGCCGTAAAGCCCCCGACGTGCCCGCCGACCTTTAAGCGCGATGGAGCCCGGTGCGTGTCGCAGGACCCGCCGGCTTGCCCTCCCGACTCGACACGGGATGGGACAGTTTGCTCCTCGGCCGAGCGTCCTATTTGCCCTCCGGACGCGAAACTGAAGGGTGGCGAGTGCGTGACGACGGAGGCCGCTGTCTGTGCCGAGAACACCAAGCTCGACGGGGACCACTGTGTCAGCTTGGATGGCCCGGTCTGCGAAGAGGGCTCCCGCTTCGACGGCACCAATTGCGTGGCCCAGCGGCCCGGGTGTGCTAAGGGATCCTACTTCAACGGCGAGGAGTGCCTAACGGTTAGCCGCCCGGGTTGTGCTAAGGATACTACCTTCGATGGCCACCGCTGTGTGTCGGAAAGCCGGCCCGAGTGCCCTGCCGGCAGCCTGCCGACTAATGGGACCTGCATGACCAACAAGAGGCCCCAGTGCCCGCCCAAGTCTGTGATGGTAGGTAACGCGTGTGTCACTGGGCCGCCGGATTGTGGTAAGGGCCTCACCTTTGACGGCACCCAGTGCGTCACGCTGGAACATCCCGGCTGTCCTCCGGGCTACAAGTGGACAGCTGGCGAGTGTGTGAGCCAGGAAGGGCAGAGCTGTGAGCCCGGCTATTCGCTTCGCCACGGCGAGTGCGTCTCCGGCGTCCGGCCCGGCTGTGGCCCCGGGACTAGCTTCAACGGAACCGCTTGTGTTGGAGGTGAGCCTCGATGCGGGCCCGAAACTTACTTTGACGGCACGGAATGCGCCTCCGAGCACACCCCGGATTGTCGTGCAGGCCTCAGGTACAACGGCAGGAGGTGTGTCGCGGAGATCGATCCTGCCTGCGAGCCGGGGACTCAGTGGCATGCTGCCTCTAAGGAGTGCGTGGGGGAGACGCCACACTGTCCCTATGGCCAGCGATTCAATGGAGAGCACTGCGCTCTGGCCTCGGATGAATGTATGGAGTTTGAGTTCTGCCCAGCCAAGGGGTCAGGAGGCTTGCAGCCCACCTCCAGATAGGGTGATTTCCAAAATATGCTGATGCGGATCATCACTGTGGTATTATCTTAGTGTTCAAGCCTGGTCTCGGCTTGTGGCTCTTGCTTTCCTACGCCTTTTGTTAGTGCAATTTAAATAGAAAACTAATCCATTGAAAATTTCACTTTGCAATAACTGTCGCTCTTACAACGCTTAATGCTTGCTATTCATACCTAATTAGTCCTTCTCCTTCTGCTTTAAATTTTCCTTTTGTGACGCCCAGTTTTATAAAGACAGGTAAGTCACAGGGACGTCTGCCTCACATATTATAAAGATGTGTGAAAGCTAAAGGGAGTCTCTTAGAATCTAAAGCTACTGAAAGAAGAAAAGGAGAGAGGGCCCTCAATATATATAGGTCCTTAAAGGCTTAGCTCTGAGGATCACGGAACTAGCGGAGATTAAGGGATCTATAGCTCTTCCGATGCGCGAGATGGGATGCATACCGAACACAAATGCTAGCACAGACAGACACAAGAAGAGGCAACCTCTCTTTCTACTTGGGCGGGAAAGCACCATCTGACCCGGAGACATGGACACCAAATATGGAAGCAGTACGAGCAACGATCAAGTTTGCCATTGCAACAGGACGACTAGACGGGACGTAGAACAGGCAGCCAACACCCCACAATAGTAAATCCCATCTCATTCTCTCACCCCAACTAACCCCCAGCACCCTCGTGTCCCCAGCAGGTCTCGCTTCAGTTGCCGACGATAGGATATTGAACACTTGGAGGAATGATCTTCAAGCTCACTTGCTACTAACCACACACGAGACCTCGTTTGATCAAGGCAATTACTGAAAGTGGAAAACACTGGAAGAGGCATTTCTGTACGGGCTTCAGGAGGTCATGGAAACACTGAACGAAGTGGATTATGTAATATAGACTAGGGCCCTTTAGGTTTAGAACCGGGCGAATAAACTTCATCATCATCAGTTAGTAGATAATGTATCAGCGCCCTCCTCTCAGATTTTAACACGCCATCGACTTAATGGCAGCACCTGTAGATCATCTGCAATATAGGACCCCATAATTCTTCCTTCAAATGCAGTTCCCGCTCTTTGTATTTGTCATTTTCGGCGAAGATTGGTCGTAGATGGACACATAGGCCGGGGAGGGGGACGTTGTTCCTTGGGATCGCGGTTGTTATTCCTGCTACGCCAATCAATACCGCGCCCCAGATTTACAACGCCGTGTAAATTATATCGTTGGTTGTAAAACTCGCCAACACCCATTTCAGCCCAATGAAAGGACTATATTTCCTGCCAACACGATTTATCAGCATCGAGAGGATGGTGTAGATTCTAACGAAGAGAAACACAGGGGCGGTGACGATGAAAAAGTATTACAGGATAAAGCTATAGACGAGGAAGGAGATGGCGAAGAGGACTGTGGTTATTATAGCTAAAGCAGTGGAGGGAACGTAGCCGTTGATAACGATAGGGGCTCTAAGACAAGAGGAGGTTAGATCCTCTCGACCTTTACAGGGCGGAGGAAGTTGAAACAGGGAGAAGGTCATGGACGTACTAATTTAGGCCCTAAGGATCTGGTGGAGGGATATCCGGAGATCCGTATCCTAGCATATCTCATATGTCTCTTTCGAGGTGTTGTGCGTTGAACAAGCTAAAAACTTCTGCTGGCAGAGCCCATCTTCCGGACAAGCCACCGATCCCGAACCTGCGGCTGCTGAGGCCGGGACGGAGGTCGCAACGCAAGGAGTGGGTGAAATGGAGGAAGAGACTCTATTTGTTGATGACATGCCAATTGCTGCTGATGGTGGTAGGGGGCGCCGCGCTGAGGAGCACGAGCTTGATGACAGGGCATGCTGATGGGTCTGCCATAAGAGATGAGACGAGGACTATACGTCGTGCAAGTACGCAGAAACCTGATTGAAATTCTCGCCGTGCAGAAACAATAGAAAAGGCTGCAATGGCTGCAAGCGCCACGGCATACCACTAAATGGTATCCATTTCCGAGAGGTCCTGATAAGATTGAAATATGGAGATCGAGTTTACAGTAGGGTGCAATAAGTTTGCATCCTTGTCTAGCGTGCCAAGCTTTTCTAACCCAATTTGTATGGGAAAGGCTTGCCACTTTAGACAGGTAAACAAAGTGTCCTACATACTATTCAGAATGGTTCGATGCGAATTGAGCCCGCAGATACGCTTACGTATTTTCGAGCTATCTATATTTGGATTATTACCAAATCGGATCCTTAAATTATACCCTGAACTCAACCTCTCTATAATTAAATCAATAATACGGCGAGAGGCCTCACGTATTAATAATGCCTCCAAATCATACTCTGGCAGACTACAAACTCTTATAGAAAAGTAATAAGACTATATATATAATATAGTCAACTATACGAATCCTTATATTAAAATAAGAGACCTTCTTTGCGAAATCGATAATATTATTAAGAAACGATTACTATAAGAGCTATTACAAGAGATAGGGAAAAGGAAGTGGATATAAAAGAAACGACCTATAATTACTATTACCTATACTCAGGTATAATTAAACTGGGCAATTCGCCATTAGACATATATACTCTATAATTAGATAAAAGTCTCGTAGTCTAATAAGTATATAGTTAAAAGAGGAATAAGAGTAAAACCCATATAGACTTTTATATACCCAGAAGATTAAATACTAGTAAGAGACATATAACCTGTCCGTTATACTAATAAGGGAGTAAAGAAGATACTTTGAGTAGTATTTGAGTATAATTAGTATACAGGATTAGTGCCTCTCAATAGCAATCCAGAAGCTACTTATAGAGGAGTTATATCTTGGGTTATACGGGCATTATATAAAGCTTTTCTTCCGGAAATTATAATTAATAGCAGAGAGTTTATATATAATAGAGCTGGCCCTTATTATAGTTTAATTATAAGGAATATCTTAAGAGAAATAGGGATTAGAGTAATAGAATAGCCACTATATTTTCTTGATTTGAATCCAATTAAGAACCTTTGGGCTTTAATAAAGGCTGAGCTATATCGATTATACCCTGAGCTTGAATATGCCCCAGATACGGAGGAGACTTTGGATATATTAATTAGAGAAGTGTTACGATTCCCAGATGCCTCCTAGGCATACGTAATGCGGCCGCCTCGCTAGGGAAATATGCTTGGAATGCACTAGAGATATTTAGAAGGCTAGCCCCTTCAGGACTAGCGCACTATAGGGTGCATATACTCCCTTGCAGCCTCCTGTATTCTAGTTTTCCCTTCCTTAGCTTTGAATCGTCTTCGTAAGGGACCTTCTACCTTGCTTTCCAAGCCCTGAATACCGTACCCGTAACAGTATTCAAAGCTCATTCCCTTTAATCCTATAGAGGATTTCAAATAAACTAATTCAGAACTATCAGAAATATAGGTACTGCCAAAATAACGGAACCTCAGAAACTCGAGTAATAGACTCCAGAATAATAAAAGCGAAAAGCTTTAGAACCCTTAGAGGAATTAGGTATTTATATCTTTATAAATATATACTAGTAATATATTAGAAACCCCCCCAAAAACCCGAAAAATCGAAGAACCTCGAATAAAGGCTACTCTTTAACCAAGTCCTAGAGTAATAGGCACTTACAGGCCAGTAACCTGACTACTATTCCCAAGCCCTATCCTATAACCTTATAGGCCCTATATATACGCCGGCAACAAGACTGCCAGGGAGGATACGGTAGAGGAAAAGAATAATAGGTCGATTTCCCAGGATATTATATAACTAGGAATTATATTAACTTCCGCCAAGGCTTCCGGTAAAGCTCTTGCTAGTTCAGGTTGTCCCGTCGGCGGCCCTTCCCGAATCAAACGTCCCGTTAGTATTCCTGGAGAATTTATAGACGAGTCTATAGAAATAGAACCCTCTGCTTTTATTATAAAGCTTCTGGAGACTAATAACTATATTACTACCAGAGAGTTATATGAATAGGCCAAGAAACCTAATACCTTACTCTCAGATATTAATATTATTATAAAGAGCTACCGGAAGAATATCCAAAGAGCTATTTCATATAAGAATACCTATAGTTATAATAAAGCTATTCTCGAGAATACCAAGCTCTATAATACTAAGCTCGAGAATAAAGTCAAATACTATATGGCTATAGTAAATCGGCTTATAGTAGCTCTAATTACTTCTGCTCCGCCTGCTCTAATTACTCCGAATTTTTTTTAAAAGAATTCTGAACTATTTCCTGCTTATTCCCGTCCAGGATCCCCTATATCTTATACTTCCTTTAGAGATACTAGAGTTACTAAGCTCCTAGATCTAACTCTCTTTACTAGAGATTATACTATCTTTAATAACTAGCTAGTTTAGATCAAGAATAAGCTATAAGGAAATACTGACTTGTATTCCTTAGAGGATCTCAAGATTATCTATATTTCTAGTAGATTTACTAGTAATACTCTTGCCCTAACTAATCCTTATATAAACGAAGATAGTTCGAATTAGTACTATTAGCTCTCAGAGTTCTATTCTTATCTAAAGGAGTTATACTCTAACCCTAATAAGATATATAATACTTGCTATGACTTTGGCAAGCTTTAAATATACTCTAGTTAAGTATTTCAGGAATTCTATACTTTCTTCTTGTAATTATCTATAGAAGGCGGTATTAGTCTTTAAGATATTAAGTATAAACTAAATAAGAAGCTTCTACCAAAGCTCTAGGAATTAGTATATATATACTATAATAATTTATCTATTAATACTACTCACTTTGCTTAATACTATACTACTAATAATTAGCAGATTAAGGCTATATACGAGAAGACTAAGGAGTATAAGAAGGCAAGAGCTATCTCAGCCAAGTTTACTTCTGGTACTATATCTCTATATACTTCTAAGGAGTATATTTCTAAGGAAGAGCCCAAGGAGCCTATATTAACTACTCTTATTAAGTATGTATTTCCTTATAAGTACAAGTAATATCTTATAAAAACCAAGGATCTCTTGACTATTAAGTATTATAACTATAACAAGTTCGGCTACTATACCAGATACTATCTGCTTTTATATAGTAAGGAAACTAAGGTAGCTCTCTCTAGAATTAAGCCAGGCTTAGTTCTTATTCTACCGGAATATACTATTTAAATAGAGTATTTAGAGAATTCGAGTTCTAATTCTGGTATAAAACCGGGAAATAAGTATTCCTAAAGAAAGTCTCTACTTTAAGGGCTTATAGTATGGATTTGGTAGAGATTAACTTGACTTGTCTAATAGGAGAAGATATTCTTATAATACCCTATACTATTAGTATAAATGAATTAGGAATTAAGTCTTTTTCCCTTATTAATACTAGAGCTAATAGTTATGCTTTTATTAATATAAAGCTTACTTAGCTTATAGAGTAATTCTTAGGAATAAAACTATAACCTCTTCTCTTATCCTATACTATATGCGGTTTTAATAGAAAGCCAGCTAAGTTTGCTAAGAAATATATAGAAGTCTTATTTCTAATTAATAGATAAAGCATTAATATACTTATAATTATCCTAAACCTTGGAGATTATAATATTATTCTTAGTAGGAAATAGGTAATATATATTAATATTCTAGTTAATTACAGAAAATATAGGCTTATATAGCCAAAAAACAAGCCTAAATCTGTATAATTTGGTTATATTATTAGTACTTTATAGTAATAGCTAGAGAAGTAATCTAATAAGAAGTATTAAAAGGATACTAATTAACGAGATTCTATTATAAGCTATTCCTAGAAACCTTTTATTCTAGAACGGTCTTTCTTCTTCCAAACTAATTAGAGGGAATTATATAAGACTATAGAAAAGAAGCTTCTATAGTCTAATTAAGATATAATACCCAAGCAAAAGCCAAAGAAGCAGAAAGAGGTCCTTAATAAAGAGTAAATATTAGATCTAGCCATTCTTATCTCTATAGTATTTAATTATATAGCTAAGAGAAAAAACAATATTATTAGTTAAATCTCTATTTATAAGATTAATAAGAAGCTTAAAGCTCGGAAAAAAGAAGCTATCCCTGGCCCAGAAAATTAATAACCGGGAGAAATAGAGCTTTAGTGGCTATAGAGAATATTATTTCCGGAACTCAAGAAATATACTTCTGTTTTCTCTAAGAAGGAATCTAATACTCTTTCTCCCTATAGATTATATAATTATAAGATTTAGATTAAAGGCCTAAAGGGAACCGAGAGTATTAGATATTAATCTCTCCGGTAGTAGTCTATTTAAGAGCTTCTAGAAATCAAGAATTTTTTAGAAAATAATCTAGCTAAAGGCTTTATTAAAGCTAGTTAGACTTCTTTTATTTTACTAGTTCTTTTTATAAAGAAAGCAAACAGAGGTTTATACTTCTGTATTAATTTCTGCTACCTGAATAATATTACCCGGAAGAATTAATATTTCTTTTCTCTTATTAATAAGACTTTAAGTCAATTATCTAAGGCCAAGATCTATATTAAATTAGATATTTGCTAAGCTTTCTATTATATAGCTATAGACCCGGACTCTCAGGAGCTAATAATATTCCGTATCTGCTATAGAGTATATAAATGTAATATTCTCTGGAAAGGCCTTATAAATGGCCCGGCTATATATTAATACTATATAAATAATATACTCTTTAAGTATCTAAATAACTTTTATATAGTATACCTTAATAATATTCTCATTTATTTAGAGGACCTAGTAGAGTATAAATAGTATATATGAAAAGTACTAGACCGCTTATATCTTACTAGCCTTTAAATAAATATTAAGAAATCGGAATTTAAAATTATATATATAAAGTATTTGGGTTTTATTATTTCTATATCTAATATTAAAGTAAATTATAATAAAATTAAAGTAATATATAACTAGTAATTCCTAAAAATAATTAAAGATATATAGTTCTTTCTCGGCTTCTATAATTTCTATAAATACTTTATTAAAAATATATATATATATATTACTAGACCTCTTATCTTATTTATAAAAA